ATATAATATATTATAAATATTATTTAAATTGCTAGACATTAATTTTTAAATCTAGTTCACAAAATGATTCTATATTGTGCTGGCTTGTATTTTACTTTAAAAAAATTATCAGCTTTAAAAGAAGAACTTGAACTGCTCTACTTATCTTCAGCTAATCTAGGTACTTTAATTTCTGTTCTGACATAAAAATTAACTAAAAATATGCGATTTAATTTATGTTTTGATAAATTAATATATCGAAAGTTGAAGTTGTCGTTTTCTGTCATTCTATGTGCACTCTTTTTTTTGGTAATACATTCTATGTGAACTTTGTGAAGGCTTAAGCGCGGCGCCGGCAAGACAACTGTCAATTGACGACTCAGGTCTTCATACAATCCAGAAGTAGCTTTGGCCCGCGCGGTATATATATGACGTCACAACATTGAAGTCATTTTCATTACGTGGGTACAGATCGGTGATCCGCCCCGATTTTTGGGACATGCCCTCGCAAAGCGGACATCAATTGCGGCGCTTGTCCGATTACCGGTCAGCAACGCACCTACCAAACACAACGCAAAGCGGACATCAATTGCGGCGTTTGTCGTTTTCTTGAGGTTCAAAAGGTTGCGTAGTGAAACTGACAGAGTGTTGAAGCGGAGAAAAAAATAATTAAGATTTTTTATATTAAACTGAAACAGTAAAATACTTTTTAATTGTGCTAAGTACTTAAGTATTTAAATAATATTTTTTAATAAAAATAAAAAATTTTTAATTTAAGTTTTATAGTAAGTAAATATAATTAGTTAAAAATAAAAAATATTTATTTTTGATTATATAATTTAAAATTTAAGGATAAAAAAACTTTAAATTATTCAACTTATTATGTTTAGGCAATCTATCTTTTTTTATGCATATGATAATAAGTTATATAAGAGTAATTAAATATTTTTTTTTCTTTAAATTTATCTCTACTTAATTCAAAATTTAAATTTAAAATTTTTAATTAAAAATCTTAAACTCTTAACTATTAAATCACCCTTTAAACAACAATCTATCAATATTCAACAGTAATTAGTTCAAACTGAACATTTAGGTAACGATACCGCTTTTATTTTAATTTAATAAAATTTTTTTGGACGTTCGAAAAATAAGTTCGCACTGAACATTTCTCTGATACTAAAAATGATTCCGTGCTAAGACTAGTCATGCGGGCTGTACGGAATCGAGCGGCTTTCAAGCAATAATTGCGGTGAATGAAGAATATAAATATTTTGGAATTTATATTTTTTAATCTGAATTATACATTAAAAATATAATTAGTCTTATGAATTTATTAAAATATTTTTCATAAAATAACATAAAATTAATTTAATTAATAAATTTATATAATATTGTATACTTTAATATACAATTTGTTATGTAAAATAATTCTTCAATATATTTTTACTGTATAAGAGAAGCAAGCAAGATATGTATATATATATATATATATAATCCCAAGAAATAAGTTCACTTTTAGTTCATGCCTAATTATAGTTTGTTTGAAATATTTAAGGTTAAATTTACAATTAAAAAAGTGTTATTTTAATTTATTTTTTAAGTTTTTAAATATTAATTTTAAATAAAAATTTAACAAACATATGAATAATAATTTCCTTATATTTTTTCTTGTTGAGGAGTTTCATTAAATTGAAAACAAAAATTCAATCATTATTTATCAAATTTTCAATTAGAAAAAGAAAATTATTGTCATTTATATATTTTTTTAAATTTTCATCTAAAATTAATATATAAAAATTTAAAAGTCAAACTATACCAACTAAAATTAAACAAAAATAATATATTTTAAGTTATATTTAAAATTTAAATTTTAGAGTTAACGTATCCTTAAACACAATAAAATGATGTGAAATGCATCTTTAAGATCTTAAAAAAAAAAAATTTTAAATACATATAAACTGATATAAGGCCATTCATAAATAAAAAAAAGGGGGGAAAAAACTTATCCTTCTCCTATAGAGATTCTACTCACGAATGAATGTATATTCTATTCTAGTGTTTCGTTAGATTTTTTGTCCTTTTTTTTTCTCTCCTGGTAACTTCGCAAGCTCAAGGGGCAAGGATTTTTGGCGCGCGCACCTTACCCAAGATAATACGCGAATGTCATGTGCGATAGTGTTGTGCACGGTAAGATAAAAAGTTTGACTGAACCAAACAAAAATAAAAGTAAATATGAATTTAGAAAGATCTATGCCGTCTGACTGAACATGTTTTTATTTTTTGGGTAAATTTTGGCTGAACGTGTTACTAAAAGTGGGGGACCGGATAACAGCCGACAACCCAAATTTACTTGATTGTTAGTGTTTTTCTTTTCAATTTAAAGTTAAAGAGTCTTCCATGTGGTGGTTATTGCTTTCTTTGATGACACTTGTGATGCAAATATATATTTTTCTTAAACCTCGTACTAAAATATAATATGCAGAGTAATTAATTAGTTTGTGAAAAATTTGGAACTACGTTCTCAATATATAGAATAGTTGAAACTTTTATTAATATTTTATATTAATAGCATAATATTTTATAGAAACACCATTACTTTCTAGACAGCAGACAATACAAAACCAACATCCCTCTGCATAGTTATAGAAAGGATAATTGAGTTTATTATAGATTTAATGTATAGTATCTTGCATTATACTAAAAAGATAATGTTATTTTTCAGTTTGTATTACATTTAAAAACACTAATTTAGAATTGAAATTGACAAAAATATTATTGATAATATTTTTGATTTCTCCCAATCCTCAATTAATGTTTTTAAATGCAGAGCAACCATGAAAAAAACATTTTTTATTCTCTAAAAAGATACTTAACTAGGAAATACTTAAAAGCAAGTCTAAAAATATGAACAACCACTTTCTCAATTACTGGATTTCAAATTTGTACGGCGTAGCGTTCGGGTCGGAAGGATCTTCTGGGTCGGAACGATCTTCTTTGCGAAGGCTGATCGTCCTGCCTTTAATTCTGCTCTCAAAATCATTCCATGGTTCAACATGGAGATGGTGCTGACCAGTGGCAGTGGACGATTCTATGTGACAGTTCCATGTCTTCCCATTATCGCTAACCCTGAACACCTGATTCTGTGGAACTTCGTTAATTTTTGAACGGTTGGGAAGCTTCAATTTGCGTTTCGCCGTGTGAGGTTCCTTGACGTCCATGCTAAAGATCTCCACCATGGCTACTGCTGGGTGTTGGCTAGGTACAAATGCTTTGAATTTGAGAACTTGATGAGTGCGGTTTCTTTTGGATTCCCTGCATGTGTATTTATAACAGCGAGATCACATGGATAATTCTATTAAGCATTGTCTTCAAATGCATGTGGGTTGGCTTTACCAAATAATGGGTGGACATCGATTGTCATTTTCCAAACATGGTTGCGGTGAGTTTCTTGCGACCCAAACGTTGGAAAAGTCTAGACGTGCGTGTTGATGGAGTTCACTCTCAAAATTCCAATATTTTAAAATTAACGTAGTAGGTATACATAAAATGATCGATGTAGGTGGAGATAGATTAATTAGTCAACCTGTTCTAACTGCTGGCATCCGCACTAGCTTGCGCGGACAATTTTTAATTGATTTCATTAACTTGAGTTGTTAATTATTATGGTACGTGTATATAGTTAGGATTTGATTTTGCTTTTGTAAGATTCAAACTTGTGATTAATTATGGCATTTTTAGCGTATTATTTTATGTTTGAAGCTCAAATCCCTAAGGTCGTTGGTGGACCATTAGCTGACCGAAAAGTTAAATATTCTCTTTACAATTATACTTTTTTTTTTTTTAAAGGCACTTTGGCCGGTTCAACTTATCTTTCGCCAACTTGTATACAATATTTAACTTTTATTTAAAAAAATTATTAGAAGTTGATTCTTAAATCTAATGGTTCAAGAGATATTATTAAAGAATTGTGAATTTTTACCTCGATTAGTAGTAAAAGAAAAGTGGAGGAATGTTTATAAAAGAACGTAAATATATATTATTAATAAATTAACATACCTAATAATTTATTTAAGGTATTTAAATAATTTTATAAGTATTTATTTAGTTTTCAATAGGTTAACTTGAAAAATACTTTTTTTATTATTTATATGGAATATATTATAAATATTATTTAAAGAGCAGTGGTATAAAAAATGAAAATTTAAGACCAATAATGTAGTATTAGTTATGTTTTTAAATATATTGATGTATATAATTTTACAAGT